ATATATATATATATATATATATATATATATATGTATATCCATATATATACACATATATATGTATATATAATTATGAATAGAAAAAAGTAAACAACTGACGGAACAAACGTGATCATAGAATAATTTTAAAATACTTACTTGGATTTTGAGCGTGAGCGACTACGCTCGGGAGATTTGGATTTAGACTTGGACTTGGACTTGGAGTGTGCCCTTGACTTGGAACGGGAACTACGACGGCTGTGGCTACGAGAACTGCGACGGCTCCTGTATTACAGAAAGCAGCGATAAGACGTATTTGAATGTTCTAAAACGACTTTCGACATCATCGCAAAACCATTTCGTTATGTGATAAATTTTGCGATAATAGGCAAGGAACAAAACTTCATCTGATCTCACGTTCAAATAAAACAATTCAGAAACGAATTTATAATCAGTTTACAAAAAAATTAAGTTGTAACATAAATTATTTTGTTTAACGTAAAACGTAAACAACTAAAAGAAAAATGTAATGACAGAAATGCAATTCAAAATGGATTAAAAAAAAGTATGAATCGATCGCTTTGTATAGATTGTCGAACGAACTACAAGGGATTGTATATAGACAAAGATAAATCATAATATAAAACATAACAGATGACGCAATGTCGCCCCGACATTACCTTGATCGGGATCGAGAACGACGATTATACCTTGAACGAGAGCGCGACCGACGACGCGATCGAGATCGAGATCGGGAGCGCGATCTCGAGCTAGAAGATCTTGAACGACGGCCGCGCCTCTTGTCTTCGATGAGTCTGATCCTACGACCATTCAATTCTGTGTCGTCTAATTTATCGATAGCGTTCTTCAAGTCGGAGTACGTCGCGAATTCGACAACTCTGCAACAAAATCACATATTTGGATCGTTAGATCAATGCATTTACACAAGACAATGCGCAGATACGCAGATTTTCATGAATGTGCTTCGCTCAACTAGAGCGCAACTTAATTCTACTTATCATTCCTGTAATTAATACACGTCACTTACCCCTCGTTTCTACGTTGCTTATGAGCATCAGCATACGTCACTTCTCCAGCCTGTCTCATGTAATCCTTCAAATCCTGAACATCACACAAGAACCAGAATTAATATATTTCTCTATGCTAGTTTGCATAAGTATGCGAATAGATTTAGAATTAGTAGTTGGAGTTTACTATACTGTGTTCCTAGTCTGATGTATCGCGCAGGTTAAAATATATCCTGTGCACTCATACGTTATACTCTATTTCGATTTCTTTTCTTGCGGGAGGTAACCTGGGTCTATTCGACTAGAGAAAAAGATCAGTATAGATGATATCTACATCTGCTCGCGTCTTCAGTGTAGAGACCGTTACCAATTGCGTGCTCGAATTTAGTATCCGTTTATCGACGCAACCTTTCTTTTTATGCAATTCAATCTTCAAAACAAACGTGATTATAATTTTATATATATATACCCACACACAACTCCGCTCTGTAGAATGAGACATATTTTACGTAATGCAACATTTATACAAGTCAATCAATATTTTTGGAGCAAAATATATTCTTATTTCTACAGAACGGCTCACAATATAATTACAAAAGTAATAGATGCGATATTTCTTCAGTGTAATATTTCTAACTTTATTCTTTAATATATCAGAATATCTATATGTGATAAAAAAGTATTGGTATAAATGCAATATATTTAAATTTAATATACCGTTTTGAATAATATATAATTCTTCAGAAAGAATTATATATGCATAAACGGAAAAGAATTGCTATAAAGCGAAAATAAAAAAATGTCAACATATATATATATATATACATAATTATTCAGCAGAAGTTTCGAAGGTTATCTGAATACTACATTCTACATCGCAATAAAATAGGAAAAGCAAATTCGGAAAACACAAGGAATTGAGGCAAAAAGGTAAACATTGTTAATTTTTCGCTAAAAATGAAAGCATAGTGAATTCATTAATAATTCTTCTCCCGTGTCACACTTTTGTGGATCTCTTCTCCTAATGTTACAAGTGTCACTCTCTACATTGTGAGTATGATGTCTCTTCCATATTATCCGTTCTCTTTCTGTTCCGTTGTTTCTTCCATGATCTAGTCTAATGCTTCATAGTCATTCCTCATAAGGGATATCTGCGAGTGAAGGTGGATATTGTCTAGTGGTCCGTTTGCGTTCATTCATCACTGGGAGATGTACTTTATGTATATCTCTCTGTCTCTCTGTGGGAACCAGGTACGGCTTTAGTGTTGTGGAAGTACTAGGTGGACAGATGTGCCTGTATGCCCGTCGTTTTACGGTGAGTACGAGAGAGCGCAGACGCCTCCGTATGCGGGATACCACATGGCGGCGGCCTTTCTGAGAGTTGTGCCGGTGTCTCTCTAGGTCCAAGCGCAAGTGTTTTCCATGGTAAAAAAAAAAGAAAAGAAAACTAGAACGCTCACGCATGTCATTGTCGATGATATATATCTGACACACTGGACGAATTTCTTCTGAAATATTCCTCGCTTGCTACATTCAAAATATATAGTGTAATAATGCAAATTGCTTTGCATAAAGAAAAGTTGGTCTTTCGCTATCCGAACGGAAAATTCTGACAAAATATATACATGACGATAGAAAGACATTTATCGTGAAAAATAGAGAAAATCCGAATGATTTAATAATCGAAGTACGCAAAAATACAAGATTGATTTGACCAACAAGTTAGTAGATTTCTAATTTCGAGCACATGAATATATTACTAGTGATTCCCTATCTCCGGTTTCGCATTTAGTTGCGCGTGCACAGCTCCGAGCTTCGTAAAACGTCTCAATGGTTCGGTGTACGCTGAGCTATGGTGCACAGTAATATTAAATAATGAGGTGTATAGATAGGTATATAATAATTACATAAATATATATTACATATGTGAACAAGACCACGTTCAAGAGTGTGTAATTATAATAGATATATATGTGTATATCTAAGAGTACACTCGGTTAAGGTGACGCATTTACCTTGGGCCCAGGCACCACCTTGCTTACGGACAGAGAGAAAGGCCAGACACACGGCGCTCGGTCGGGTCGAACGGATCTGTGTGGCGCAGTCGCGGATGGTTCGGGTTTCGGCCCGCGTATGCCCTCATGGGTGTGGCCGTTGCCTGACTTACTAGATGGCTAGGTTGCGTGGCGTACCAGTAGCAATGACAGTCACAGTGGAGTGGTAGATGTGATGGTGGTGGTGGTTGTAATGATGGTCGATGGTGAAGGTACTGAATTATGACCATGTCGGTTTATAGTAATAGGAAGAGTGATATATATTGATGGTGGAGGTTGTTTACGTAAACAAGTGTTTGTTTCCCAGATGGATAAAGTAGATAGCGGCGGTTGGATCTTTCTTTTTTTTCCCCCAGTGATCACGATGAAGAGGATCGAAGTACGCACGATAACCCTATCACTGGGATTTCACCGGGATTCCACCACGTATTACTGCGCGTGAGTAGTAGTATGATGGTAGATAGGTGATGGTAGGTGTACATCCCAGTGCCACGCGGCTCTCTCTGTCACCCGGGACACCTCAGAAACCAACCTGGTGCCACTTGACCTCAAGGCGGGCCCATCGCGTGCATCGTCATCTCTATCATCGCACATCATCAGTCTATTGGCCCTACCGGTCGCCCCTCCTCGGCGAAGAGGATATGGCTCTTCGGAAAGAACATCAATTTTATTTTGTTTTTTCTCAAACTGTTGGCCGAACGTAAATGAAATAATAAATTGAAAAAGTAACGTCGAACAATCGAGACTCGATCGAGAGAAATATCTTTTCGTCAAATAACCAATCATTGGAAAAGTGCAACGATAGATATAGAAAAAATATATACTTTTATAGATTATATATGTAATATACGAATATACACAATGTAAATTGATCAAGTAAGACTTGGTTCACGTGCAATCTTTATTTCAATTCGTCAGTATGACTTCTTTCTCTGGCCTTTTTTGGTTTTAAAAGCGTCTGTTTGCGTCCTGGTATTTCCCACATATCGTTTGCATTCATCTGCATCGCTCTGTCTCGATCTATCGTCTCCATCCGTTTCCATCCATATTCGTTCCTTCGTATCTTCCGCTTTACAGCTCTTCGCGTCCACGGCGTCCGCTGAACTTTGTCCAATAGTGTCTGGCTGCGTTCGTTTCATCACAGTACGGGTCACGTTGTTACTCCGAGTTCCTTCGTGCATGCCTATGTCCTTGTATCAGGTAAGATGATATGCCATGTATCTCTTGCACGTCGCACGTGTCAATTCTGATATCTTTGTCGTCCATATGGATTTTTTTTCTCTCTCGTTTTTCTTTTCTCATAGAAAATGTTTTTTTTGCTTTTTTGCACATGTATATGAAAATCTGACTTCATTTTTTGCCATAGACTTACTTGATCAAAATCTTACATCTTTCTACATTCCAAAATAGGGTTCTCTTTTCTGAGTAAATAAACGTAAAATGAAACGAAAGACAATTAAAGAACAAAAGAAAGAAATGCTTTGTATTATCGACACGCGTGGAATTTGGTAGAAACGGACTGCGGAAAAACTCGGCAAAACTTAGAGATTTGGAGTGATATATAAATTCGAAAAACCCATATAAAGCAGTGCAACGTTTTCTCTGGAATCGCGAATAGTAATCAAACCAACGAAGGTAAGTATCGGTAAAAAATGCAAGAAAAAGATAACCAAGATACGTGTGTCACTTACCTGCCAACTGACACGGCTTGACAAATTCTCCACGGTGAGGCGGTACTCGGTACGTGTCGGCGGGCCATATCTAAAATGGGAAAAAGACTGGCTATTATCTACATGTATGTCTCTAGAGCAAGCAGGTTTGTCTTGGACCTGACTTTACGTTAATATAGCGAATAAAAGTATGATATATAAAACTTAATATTGATATAATTCAAGACATTTGCAATAGTAAAGTTTATGTAAATTAAGTTGTAATCGTTAGAGCGTAACATTGGATGTATGTACCTGGGCAATGATTGCTTGTAGCTAGATGCAGTCCTCGTGTTTCTGTTCACACTATCTCTGCAAAAAGGGATGTCATGTGAACAGAAATAACGGATCGTCGGTTAAACCTTCAGCAAATAACTACAGATCTGCACTCATTGCTCAGGCACACAATCAATCACCTGTTCCAATCGAATCAAATCTATTCAAAATGCAGCAATAGCGTACCTGTCGTGCCGCATATCGTCTCGGCTGTAACAAACATAATACCACACATCTATTAGTCACCAATTACATCGGTTCATCTCGGTTCAACTACCAGCAATAAACATAATGTCTGGGAGGGTATCGCTAGGCGTTATCTTGCTATCACTTTTCCATCGCGGTGAAACTTTGACAATTCGACGTACTCTGGAGAGTAGTAGTCAAATCCAAGACAACCAATTCAGAAGATAATTCGATCTCTAATTAAACGTATTTTTATATGCGCAAAGGCAAGAGAAGTTTGCAAACGCGTGGTTTATCACTCGTCTCTACGCCCTCTCTACGCTAGAGCTTATCAATATCCAAGATTACGTTCTTCCCTGTGCGGACGATGTGCGAAATCGATTAGGTGGAATAGAAAAAAATCTCGAGAGCCAATATAAAGCAATAAACGAATTTAACGAAAAACAAATTTAAAAAAAGGGGAAACAAAAAATTATACAAAGAAAAAGGTACCCGAACGAACGGATAACAAACTGATCAATCGTTGGGATTTCGCACATCCCGAGCCGGCAGCCTGCAGGGGAGGAGGGGATAATGATCGCTCTGATAAAATAAAAAAAAGGATAGCGTGTCTTACGCAGATCGCCTCGAGTCCCCATAACCACCACGGGAGTCACCATAGCGCCACTGGTCACTACCCCTAGGTGTCCCCCGGGCCCTCTCTACAGTAATTCTGTAACAAGACACATTGGATATGCTTACTTGTCTCTCCAGGAGCGTGAGCGTCCGTAGCCACGGTCGCCTCGCCTCCCTGAAACACCCCGTGCTATCTCCACCGCCACTCTGAAACACACCCAACAAAACCCCGCCTAAGTCCACGACTAATTCTTACTCTCTAAAGCTGCTTCCTTCCTTCCTTCCTTTTCTTTCCATTCCTCAGCCTCCTTTCTCCGCGAAATCCGTTCAAATATCATCCGTCCCCTCTCTCTCTCAGAATCTCTATCGTCCGGTTTCGTCCGAGGCGCTGTCCCCTCTCTCTTTTTCTTTCCCCCTATCTCTCTCTCTCGCGCGCACTCTCTCTCTCTCTCACTCTCTCTCTTTCACGACCCGTTCTCGTTCCTTACATAGTCTAAACTGCTTTCCTTACACAATGCTACTTATCACCGAATTATTTTTTTTTCACCACATCCATCAGCTTTTTCATAATTATATCCGTGATCCTTATAATATATTTAAATTTTCTCTCTTTTTCTTGCTTAGAGTACGATGCGTTCATATAGGATCACACGATGAATTTATGAAAAAGCATATGTGCCAAATTTTTCGGCAAAAAAGAAGCAATATAACATTTTTCCAGACGAAGACATATTATTACAATGACTTTTTCTACTCGGGGAATTGATGGAAGTAGTTCAAAATGGCGGTAAGTCATTTAAGACACATTTTATCTCGATAAATGTCCAATCGTTAATTTGGAGGACAGACGCCGTTTACTATAGATACAAAATTAAAGGCATTAATGGATTGCCCGTTGAATGCGAACAGATAATTGTGCACTGTACATTTGTCTTTAATCAAATAGAAGCAACAGCGAATAATATTACTGGTACAGGTTGAAATATACAATTAGAGCGATTATTAGAGCGTTAAGTATACTGCTACCGCATTCGACCGCATTTTGTCAGCTTTTACAACGTTTAGTCTATATTGAAATCCACTGTTATTTTTTCCATATAGAAGCTACTAATATTATTGACACACTTACATAAATTCCCAAAAGAAAAACAGAAAGCAAGAGGAAAGCATGTGGAGATGAAAATTTTCCAGAGAATATTACTTTGAACGTTGTATTGGACTTAATTTTCTTCGAATGCTATTGCTTCTCACATATCAATCTAATCTCAAGTGACGCAACAAAAGCAAGATAAATTGATAATAAACTGTTTACTTAAGATAACAAGATGTTGTATTTGTCGATCTAGAAGGAAATATTGTGAGTTAAATTATAAATAATTCGCAAGTAACAAATATTTATTTTTTTCTGAATGATGATTCTCTAATAATTCAATACTTTTAAGAAGCCTAAAAGATTCAATTTCCTAAATAACTTAGACATCAATCACCAATAAAGTTAAGCCATTTAGGGTTGAGTAATTTCGGATTTAATCAATTAGTCAGAAAAAAATATTTATTATGTAAATCAGAAGATATTTATGGCTCAATATAGCATCAACCCAACACACTAAAAATAAACTATTACAAGTTAGCTATATTGCGATATATTATCCTACAATTTTCATGAATTTTAAAAGATAATGTTTTAAATGTGATTATGTGGGCTAAACTATTGCAATGGACCCCTGTATATAAAATAATGTATTCTTAATAGAATAAATATTTGATATGACATCATAAAAACATATAGGAAGGAATTATATCTGTTATATGACGTTAGTTAATTTCGATGATACCAAATTTAACTCACCCTTAGTGTGTTAGCATAATGAATTAAAACTTGCTTAGTTTGAACAGAGAACCCCCAGTACCAATAATATTATGATTATAATTAATCAAACATTAACGTAATCACAATAACAATCCACATACTAAATGGATTGTTATAGAAACTATTCAGTCATGCAAACATGCTACCTATACCATTCCGCCTAATATAATCGCCTATTACATATATGTTTCATACACTAATTGTGAGTGAAATATGATTGCATTACCTTTCTCCTAAAAGTTCCTTTCCGTTTAGTTCGTACACAGCGTCGTCAGCATCCCTATAGTCATCGAATTCCTACGAAGAAAGAATTTTTTCATTATTATCGAGAAATAAAATGTAGCTTTGTTGTTATTTAAATATTGTTTGCATGCTATAATATATCGCTCGTACCATACTAATGCATTTATATATAAAAATTATATATACTAATTAAAAAAGCTTTTATAATAACGCTAAGTATCGCTGTATTATTTACGAAATATACATTATATATATATATATATATATATATATATATATATATATATATATAAACTACCATAGATGTGATAAAAATGTTTAAATATACATAATGTTGATGGCAGCAACAAGAGACTTTAATATGTTCATAATTGAATTATCTGAAACTTTATATTTAATACATTTTTTTATAGCTTCCTGCAAAAGTTTTAAAGTAGGATATATCATTATTTGACTTAACAAATAAATCGTACATTATCAAATAATACTACAAGTACATAACTATATAAGAGTGCGTAACCTTGATTATCGTAAGTGCTTAAAAAATTTCAAATTATTGTTATAAGTATCTGGTAATACATGGCCCATTATAAATGATTTAGTTTCTGCGGTTATATATAACTTACAAAGCTTTTGCAGAATAATCGATGATAAGCAGCACACAGCTCCACTATACCGCCACAGTACCAGTGTGCTCAGGGCTCGGGTCAGGTCAACTCGGGTTATCGAGTCGTATTTGTAATTTAACACTTTGCAGCTTACCCACTTTGGTCCAAATCACGATAAAGAAACGAGTAACTATCTTTTGAGAGCAAATTTTGTCTCTCTTTATTCAAAAGCATTGCCACATCAATGATCACAGTATCAAATATGAATAGATTTCAGAGTAAATTAAATTTATCAATATGAAAACAAATTTCCAAATACATTTAGAATGCATAAATATAAATACATTTTATAGAATAATCCACCAAGCTGAGAAACATGACTCGCCAACTCCAAAAATGTGTCAGTCGCAAAAAGACATGGGGGAATACGAACATTGCAGGAACAAACGGTGTTACAGGACCAACGTGAGCTACGCAAAGTGTTACTCGAGGTATTTACAGCTGGATACAGATACTCACAACAAAGCCATAACCATTCTTGATGAGAACATCACGGAAACGACCGTAGCCTCTGAAAAATCTCTCAAGGTCTCTTTCCCTGGTGCCGTATGGAAGCCCACCGACATAGACTCTTGTCCCTACCATACTGTAAAAAAAACAATTAAATCACATTAGACTTACCACAAAGGCAAATCCATTCTTCATAGCGACCTCCTTGATTCTACCATATTTCCGGAAGAACTTCTCAAGGTCGCGCTCTCTCACCCGGTATGTTAATCCACCAACGAATACTCGAGTGCTCATTCTTAAAGGAAAATATAAAAACACCTTACATAACAGGCTACCTGCAGAACCTGCCGTTTAATCACATGACAACATAAGATAATCGTTATTTTCCAAGACTAACCGAGAGGCGGTTTAAAGTAAGCTTTAATTAATTATTTATAAACAAACAGAACGGTGTTTCTATAATTACTCTTTCAAGGAATACGGGAACTCAAATTAATTTAAAATTTTTTTATTGGATCCGATTAACTATTTTCACTATTCGATTACTATATACATGTATTGTACTACTGCCTTATGTATAAATGTATAACCGTCGTTAATTGTTCTCGATGTCTTTTCAACGTAACGAGGTGCTTACATGCTTCACGCTTCACGAAATAAAGATATGGAGGCTTTCCGGAAGTTGCGATCGCACGAGGGATTCCTTCTATACGTGCGCGAACGAGTCGAGATGGGGAGGGGGAAAGAAAGAAAAGAACAAGACAAAAAAATTTCGTTGCGCCACGCCGGCGTGTACGCATGGCATAGGACAATTGGGACGCCGCGTCGAAATTATCGGAAACCGCCGATCTCGGGCTCTCCGACGTCACGCTACTCGCGCTCCTCGCCGAATCGGGTGGACGATCGATACGCGGGGAGGCGCCGTCGCCCGTCGGTTATTTGCGCCGCGAGCGATACCCCGAGTCGGAATAATGGCCGCGGAAGAATGGTCCGCGTTTTCGACACGCCCGACGAGCATAAACAAAGATGCGCGACGCGCGGCCGCGTGCTCCGATCGTCGCGAAGCGGATTCTCTCCTCCTCGCGAAACGCGTCGTCGCCGGTCGCCCGGGCCGGCGCGCGGAAACGAATTACGCCGAGCGGGAACGAAAGCTGGTAGGAGAGCGTGCTGCGTGCTTTCCTCGCGGTCGCGGGTCGCGGGGGCGCGATCGTCCCGCGTTACATCACGTTACACGGGGGGGTTAGCGACGATCCACCTCGTAAATCGCAGTTTTTTTTTCACTCGAGAGCGCGGGTATCGAAATTATAGAACGTAACCGGGCATCTAGCCACTCGTACTCACCTGAACGTTCAGTTCGCGGTAATCTTTAGTAAACGAACCCCGTATACTCCGTCGTGCGATGCGAGATCAACGAGACTACGAGAGATACTGAACGATGCCTCGCGCGACGAGGCGGCCTCGTAGCAACAACGGAAACAAAACGGGGTTCACGCGACGGCGCGCAGGGCCGCCGCGAGGCTTAGCCTCGACGCCAGACGGCGGCGGCGCGGGCGGCGCCACCTTCCCCCTCCCTCACCAACTGACCAACGACGCCAATGACGCGACGCGAGGAAGAGAGAATTCCGTTCGGCGAAGGTTTCTTCCTTCTCTCCGGAAATGCGACTTGTATGTACAAAGGGAACGTGTTCAGACGCACGTTCCGGAAAGTAACTTGAAAGAGGGGAACGGAATATTCCGTCGAACGAGTCTTCTTTCTCCCACCCCTCCACCACGATGAGAATTGCTTCATTTTTACGTGGGATTGGGTCATTCAATCGAGCGACGTGATTCGACTCGTTAAAATCGAGGGATCCTCACGGACGTTTTATAACGTCGTCGAAGCGACTTAACGACGTTTATCAACGAAGTAGGTTACCTCGTCGCTCGATCGCGGACACTTCCGGTGCGGGTTCGAGGCTAGGACGCGCACGACGCGCATGAACGGAAGTGCGACTCGCGTAGTCGTGCGATTCGAACCTCGGAATTTCGCCAAATTTCACGGGCTCGTATGGCTACTCCGCAACCGAAATGAAGAGTTTTGTGGAAGGGACGTCTCTCTCGAATTATTTCGAGATAAATCATTCGAGGAGATTCGCGGAATTGCAAGCCGCACGGAAATGGAATGTTTAAATAAACGCGATACGCACATCTCGTGTCATGCTATCAATACTTGAGCTACACTCATTTGTTTAGAAAGATTTATCAACCGTCATTTTAAAAAATGTTTATATACAGATATATGCAGGTCGACGTGATTTTCACAAACATTGCGTATATTGTTGCACATGAGAGTCGTGTGTTTTTTGAAAGCTGAATTATAACGCGCGCGCGCGGCGATAATTATATTGCATCGACCAGAGAAATAATCTTTGTGTTTATTCGCGATAAGAAAAACGGGCGTGAGATTTATCTCGCCGCGTTCGTCGGTGTCGAAAGTCAAGCTCGTTGAAATTACGTCGCGATCCCCTTTTCGAGAAATCTCACCAAAACGTTTCCTCATATTATCTATAGATAACATAAATTTTCTAAAGTCGCGCGCGCGTTTCTGCGGCAGCGCGAGAATCTTTGCAAGTCTGGATCGTGCGTTCTCTCTCGCGCGAGATAATCGTTCGTTGCGGCATATACTAGAAAACGGATCGAGATCCTAGGCCGTAATTCGGAAATTGTGTACGTGCGCAAGGTGGACGTCGAGCGGCCGAGAGGAATATCCATTATATCCAGAAACGAGATCCGCGATCCGCCAGCAGGAGCTGCGCGCACGGGCGCGGCCAGCGCCACCTACTGAAAACAAAAATGGTGGCGAGCAGCACGATGCCCTATCCCTGCCCCGCTTTAATGGCACGCCAAATGTCTGCGTTCTCTAGGCTTCCTTCTACCATGTATTCCCCTCCGACCGATGTATCTGATTTCGCTGTGAATAGAGGAAATCGCATTACGGTAGTAGGCTCTGTTACGCGTGCGAAATAAGCGGGGCCGCGTATAACCAAAACATAAGGTGAAAAGCAAAACTGTTGGCGGAGATATTTAGCCGAATTATAACCGCACCAGCTCCCGATACGACGTGTCACTCGCCTTATATAATGAAATTAGCCGCGCACGTTCCCGCATGCCAGTTCCACGCCCGTAATATGCGTCGTCCGCCGATGGAAACGCGTGAATCTCCCCGTAGCACCGAGGCAGCCCAGCTCGGGGAAGCCTTCTCCCCGTGGTTTGCTATCGGGAACATGCACGTTTTTCCTTTTCCATCCCCGGTAGATCGCATCGATTCTCTTGATTCTCGGTGTAACACGCGTTTCCGTTACTTTCGTTACGGTCCGTAATGCTTTTCAATTATTTTCTCTGATGGGTTTGCACATTTTGGGAAGGAGAACTTGTGTGTTACGTTGCTAAAACTTTTATATTTGTTACTGTATATATTCGGTGTCTTGGGAAATCGGCTACTTTTGGTTCGTCCGAGCTTTCGCAAGCTGAAAAACTTATCTTTGCACGTTAGCGAAAACTTGTATAGATTCTTGTCAGTAGTTTTATATAAATAGAGTTGCTTTGTGTTATCTAAATCCAAAATCTTGTTGTTTCATTCATTGCTTGTGCATTGTTACAGATTGTCAGGCTTCTCATAGACGGGTAATGTCTGATAGAGCAAACACGATGAAGTTGGAAGCTGAGATGGCTGCACCCTTGCATCTTCAGAGACTGGAACGCAGCCTGAATGTACAGCCTTTCTTAAAGCAGATCAACAATCTCTTTCAAGAACAAGCTAGGTACTGATATATTTATCATTTGTTAAATATATCCTCTTACTATACTAATTTATAATACATTAATAATATATATTAAATTAATACTATACGTAGTAATACAAATATTGTATTTTTTCAGTGAGGATGACAAGTCTGTCTCGTCGGAATCTTCTGATGGCTCAGATGCTTATCTCGATAGTGTACCCACTCGAAAAGAAGGTTGATATAAATTACCAATTTTGATTTCATTTAAATAATCTATTTAATATTTTCTTATAATATATATGATTTTTTTTTAGAAGCGAGAATCAATAAGCTAAGGCTGTACAATATGTCTAGTGTAGGAGAAGAAAGACGTTGGTTGCAAGATATTCTTTTAAGCGATTCCTCTGACAGTTCTGCATCGGGTTCTGATACAGATAGCCAAATCACGGAAGAAGATTTTCAAGAGATGCTTAAGTTTCATATATTACGGAAAAAATATCAAGGTCGTTTTTATCAGAAACCAGAAGTAAGGACTATTAGTTCAAACATGTTTGGCAATGCAAATGTTTAAAAATTTAGGATATTATAAAATATTGTTATTTTCAGAATATACAATATCAATATTATAGTGCGGGTTTATTATCGAATTATGACAGATTTTTGGAGCATCAAAAGTTAATTGTGGGAAATAAAAAGAAGAAAGAAAAAAAGCCAGATAAAAAGATCATGAAGATTAAGAAAGAAAAAATTAATCGCCACTCTACATCCGAGGAATATCGTGTATGTACCAAATTATTTGTTACACATTTATATTGACACTTATGTTCTATATTTTCTTTTTATAAAAATGCTATATTTTAGAAAGGAAAATATCCGGAGGGAGAATGGGATAAATCGATTCCTAGGGAGGAAGAATTAGACGAAGCTGAATTAGAAGCTATAATGCGTCATCAACCTCGAGGTAGAGGGAGGAAAAAACATAATAACAAGAGTGTTGAAGTGATGACGATGAGAAGAAGAAAAATATGGGTAATGATGTCTAAAAAGGAACTAGGAAAAGTACAAAGGGCCAAAACCAATAATCATAAAGAAATGCTAATAAGTTGTAAGAAAGTAGCGCAGCATTGTATGAAATATTGGAGGCAGAAAGCCATGCAAGTGAGTATAAATTAATACTTGAGTTATGTACTTGACTTATAGATCATATATTTTATTTATCTCTATCTGTACGATTCAGTCACAGAAAAATATGAAAGAAACTATCTGGCGGGCAAAACGCTTGACAAGAGAAATGCAGTCTTATTGGAAGCGTTATGATCGAGTCGAACGGGAAACTAGAAGAAGATTAGAAAAAGAAGCTGAAGAACAACGTAAAATGGATGTAGAACTTATTGAAGTAAGAATATATTAGATTATATAAAAGAATGTGTTTTTAACTTCTATTTTTTTCAAATTTTTATATTGTTGTATATTCTTCTTTCAGGCAAAACGTCAGCAAAGAAAATTAAATTTCCTTATCACTCAAACAGAATTGTATGCTCATTTCATGTCACGAAAAATAGATAAAGCATCAGCAGAAGAACAGTTGAGAATCCTAAATCAGTTAGATGAAGAAAAGAATCCTAGACTTATTGGTATCGACGATTATGATAGGTAGTTGAATTAAATATATAATTTTATTTACGTATGTCCTAAAATTAATTACTTGAATGGTTGTTGTACGTGATAAATTAAAGCCAATCTTATATTTTAATTGTAAAAGCATATATTTACTGTATAGTGATATTATGAAACAAAAAGCAAAGAGAAATGCTACTGAAGCATTTAACAATGAAAAGGCCAGGACCAAGCAATTTGATACAGTTGCTGCATCTCAAGAGTTACGTCTCAGTGATACACCTGAGAACCTGGAACACCCGCAACCTGCAATTTTCAAGGGCAATCTGAAAGGTTATCAATTAAAAGGAATGAATTGGTTGGCAAACTTGTATGATCAGGTTTGTAACTACATATACACTATGGGCCAATTCCTTTTAGTGACACAAGTCGACACAAACATAGTTTTATCCTTC